AGTAGCTTCTCATACAAGATCAAGGCCCTTTCTTTGATAAGGGAACCTATTGTGGTGCTTCCTGTAACTAGGAGCATTGCATCAATGGGTGTTGATTTTATCCCTCCAGTAAAAAGTCGTAATGCTTGGTTGTGTGCCTTCTCGAGGGGTTTGAGAGTCACCTCTGTGGCTGTAATGAGTGGCTCACAGCAAAACAGCATTATTGGCTGAATAAACATCTTGTAAGTGGTGTTTAGAGTTGAGCGCGCACAGCCCCATACGCTACCAGCAAGACGCTTCAGGACATTCAGTCTATTGGAGACGCGTTCTGCTATTTTAGCAATGTGACTTTTCCCCGTTAGCTTTGTGTCAAACTTATTCTGAATATATGAATTGATGATTTCTACCTTCAGCGATGTCAATTAATCACTATTTTAACTTCATGTCCATAAATTTGAATTCTCTCTCCTAATTGCGGTACAATAATATCGACCTTTTACTCATTGACAGTAATGAAAAAAGTTGGAGTTAACGGCTTAACTGTAGCTTAATCTTGATGAGATATTGGAGATGAGAATGTGGGGAGGACTCACTGGAGTAACACTGGTATTATTCCAAATATACCATTAATAGGAGGAAATGGAAGATATCAAAAGCGCAAGACACCCCAGAACGATATCAACAATTATTTCGCTCCACTTCATAACACTAGAGACAAACATTACTCGGAGATTTTGTTATTTGGGCACCTGACCTCCTAATTCAAGAGTAATATGACTAAGTGGCACATAAGCTACGACAGTCAAACCTTATGACAAAATCGATACCTTCAGTGGTCTGTTCGAACCCAAGTTTACCTGAGAAAAGTCTAGGGCAAAGATATATACTTTACAAATAACTCGTAGCACAGTATACAATTGTAAAACTTACGATTCGTTAATAAGCCATCCCAAATGAGTAGAACCTCAAGAACAAAAGAAGTGAATTTCTATTCATTCAAATTAATCATATTACACTTTCTAAAGTTATAGGAAAAGCTAACGGTCATAGAGTGGGGAAGATAAATGTGTGAAGTACTAAAGTCAAAATACCGAGTTGCAGATTAGGAAATCAGTAGGGAAGCTAAGATGTGGTCGACAAAACCACAGAGCACAATATCAGTACGTCAGCTTATTGTACAACTATTTTCATTCTTCGAAAGACCCCAGCGTGCCCATTGTTCGTGGCTATCAGTGTACGGTGGATAGCGAAATCTGAAAAAAAGCAATAAAAATACTCAAATAAAGCGGTTACAATGCAACGAGGCCATGAAATAAGTAGATTAACTAACAAAAACAACAAGCGAATTCATATCGTATCGGATAAAAAAGTTACTACGGACTTACAGATTGTTTATTTTTTCGACCGAGGATTTGTTAAGTACAGAACGAGGATTAGAGAAGGTGGCAATAGACGCCTCTTCATAATATCTTCCCATTCCAGAGTTACCGACACCACCAAAGGGCAGATTAGTTACTAAAGGGAAGGACAAATTCACCAACTAGAAGCTGCCAAGCGTTAGAAACAGTTTGAATTTAAGTCCACTTGCCAATGACATACCTACAAGCTGCATGATACAGTCATTGAATGTAATTGAACCAGAAGTAGTTCGACAATTCCAGGCATCTTGAATATCCTTTTTAGAGGAAAAAACGTAATTTGAAAGTGGTTTAGGCCTAAAAGGAAACTGAGTTTAGAAAAATTTGACATTCTTCGGCGAATTAGTACGCAACTAATTGTTCAATCAAAACCAGTTTACCACTCACCACCTAATCACTCTTGATCTCCAATGGATCACGCTAGAGTATCCACGAGCTGAACTTAAAACTGAAGTGCCCATGCTTTGTTTCGGAATTGCTAATACACATCTACCCAATACTTACCATATCGGCTCTCAGTCTTGCGCAAATGCATTCGACTCTTTACAGTTCGAAAGTCCATCCGGACTGAAGTACAACACCAAGTGCTACACTTCTGAAAAATCAGGAGTGAGGTATGTTGATAATCATCCCATCTGGTATTGATGTACCTGCCTGCGAGCACGCCAGACAAGGGAGAAACCACCATCATTTCTCCCATATCATAACGCCAGTGAGTTGTAGGAATTTTATCAATTTTTCTGTACCGTATATTCTACTCCAGTTAACTTATTTTAACGCCAATGTCTAATACCTCAACAATGAAACTTGTTTTGTTTGCTGCAATAAAGTACTCATCAAACCACTTTTGTGAGACTAACCTTACAAAACAAATGTCATCTTACAACACATTAATTCCATTAAAGCCTCGGTTTGATATCGAAATAAAACTCACTTAGGTAGAACGAAATTAATCGCTTCATCAGATGATCCGATAGTAATGATGGGAAGAATGGGTCCAAATATCTACAGAAAAAATACCTCCTCTAAGAAACAATTTATCAATCAAAGTTCATTTCGAGTTTAAATATAGATAAACATTTACTTCTTCACCCATAAGAACATCATCAGCAGGAACATTTCTCACTATTGTCATTTCAACAAATTTATTCTCAATGTCAGTTCTTCCTCCGAATACCTTTTTGCCCTTTGTGTTTTGTAAAAGTGCCAAAAGACGTCTACAAAAATAAATTCAAGAAAAAATTATAAAGTTAGCTGTACAAATTCACCTAAAAATCACTCCATCGTTCCACAACTAGACTTTATCTCACTTTGAAGTTAGCTGAAGGGCTAATGATAACTATTAAAACGCCTACCAACTGCTATCAATAAATTTTCTAGTATTGCGTCAAAAGTAACAAATACTATTTCCTTCTGCTCATTTAAAAATTAGACAGCAAGGCATGATTAATTTGACAAACAAAATGCACGTAGAATTCCAAACGAGCTGTCAGGTTACATGAACCCAACTTTTATTGGCAGGCACTCGAAATTCATGAAACACACATTAAACGTACGCGGCATGTCTCTTGTTGATGATACGACCGAAGGACTCCGATTTTTCCATGTCTTCTCCGTAGAATTCTTTCACGATTGCAATGCATTCTTCGATCAACTTATCCTACAAAATCGAGGGAAAAGGTTACCTCCCAAATTCAAACATACACACACACACACACACACACTCAACCTAGAACAATGTTTACTCAAAAACAGTCACAACGGTTTGAAAACAGTGATGGCCATTGTGCCACCTCCCCATACTTCTCTACCCCTCTGTGGTTATGGCAATACCTCCCTATCTCTCACTTTTCTTTTAAACTCAATTCTCCTTCATACCACCTCACGTTTTCTGTAAAAATTGGATGTTTTATTCACTCTACGCTTCATACACTACAGCAACAGCCATTATTCGGCTAATAGTGCTGTTCTGGGAAGTACCGAATCAATGCTTCCATATAGTAGGAGTAACAGGATCTCATATTGCACTTTCGGTAAAATAAAGAGGGAAAAGTGGAGGAGTAGGTACCTACCACAACTTTTTCATGGCATAGAACGTAATCAGGTGCAACACAAGTTTGTCCACAGTTTACTCCTTTGGCCCACATCAAGCGCTTAGCAGTGAGAGGCAAATCCGCCGTTTCGTCAACGTAGACAGGACTAGGAACGACAAAAACGAAAATTGATTAACCAAAATCAACCGTATAGTGGAATTATTTTATCTAGAATTGAGGTTAATGTCATCTTGAGATCAACTATTCTCTCAAGAAGTCTCAGACTTCTATCCGGTGTTGGGCCAAATTTCACACATCACTCACATGAATATGTAGGTCATTTTCAGTCAGTGTTAAATTAACAACTTGTCACAGAGCAACAACACTTCCATCTCCACACTCCTACATGACGAATATGAGAATTTAATCAACTAGCCACGAACACGAACTATCGCTTGAGACCGATGGCATTAGTTTCATCTCACACTGTTCCATGTCATTTTTAACAATCTTTTGAAGCAGCTTACCATTATATGTTACAATTGCTCAGTGTAATGTCCACAGCACTATGCTGCAAGTCGTTAGAACTCAGATGGCTACAGCACTATTACATAGTGCTGATTATTTACCAGTTTCAATAGATTAAATCAAATTAAAGTAGGTAACTAGTGTTAACACAAGATATTTCCACGAAAAGGTTGATTGTCAAAGCCTGAGCACAATTGTCTAATCAGCTCGAAAGGTCACAACAAACACAACGAGTAATACTTTTAGCTAACGATTTTAATCGTAAAGTGATTAATGACAGATTCAAAAAAGATCATATTTATTATCATAAAGAAAAATACTGAAAACAAAATACAACTGCATAAAACAGAACCATATGCGGTATGTGTTTAATGAAAATAAATAGGCGGAATTTGATTCGCTCACCTTTTGCCGCCTAATTCAAGAGTGACAGGCGTTAGATGTTTAGCCACCTGTGAGAGAATACTTCGGGCTGCCCCCTCTCCTCCTGTATAGAAGACATGATCAAAACGATACGTGTCCAAGAGCTCCATCGTTTTCTTTGCATCGCCAGTAAAAATTTGACATACAGTCTAATAGAGAAAGAGGTAGAAAATTTCACAAAGGGCCGATGGACTTACTCAGCCGAGAGAGCGATTTGGACACCAAAATATTTATATATCCAAAAGAACAGGCGCAAAATGCAATATATCCATGTTATTACTCCATAATAAATCAACTCATTGCTCACTTAGAGAGTGACTTTTTGAATGGCCATTCACTGACTCATATATATGTTGAATACCCCCACTAACCCTCTCTTATGACAACTTACAATATTTATAAATTTGTCCATCGATATATAACGGCAAACCAACGCATTTTAACGACAAAAACGAGGTAAAGAACGTTATGAGCGTCAGACACGCACCTAAAAATCAAGCCTACTTAAACTTTCATGCTTTTGTGTTCCAAGTTGTCTCAAATCTCATTAAAGCAGCATTTGCCCCCCTTCTCACACTACACTCAGGACGCAAACTACTCTTCAGAAGATCACAATAATTTCGAACAGATAGCGACTCAACTACACTCCCTTGACCACAAAAAGGTCGGAACTTTGTCTGCTTCAATCAACACAAGGTAACATCTTCACTTACCTGAACTGATTTCTTCCAATCTTTTCTCTATCTCGTCACACCTCTTCTATTATATTTTAATTACTACAACTTAACTCGTGACACAGTGATGAAAACTTGATCACCACATGTCATCGTAACGGAATCCACATTTTTCTCCATTAATCGTTTCACCAAAAGGGGGGTTGCAAGACTAAAAGGTCCTATTTTATAAAAAAGTATTCTTAAAGTACTCTATTCTAAAAGATCTACATTCTCACTCCATCGTGTATTCAAAACAGAGGATGTGAAAAAAAGTCCTACAATTTACAACCACCACACCACCCAAGTTCCCGTTTACATGACTGCATCCCTCCAAAACAATTTCGAAGTTTAGAAGAATCCGAGCGTGTTCATTCAAATGAAAATAATCGGACGAAGTAGCCGCACACAAAAGAAATTTCACAGCAAGTGTAACGACGTTATACGAGAGAACATAAAAAATATCCACACCGCACGTCAAATAACAACACTATATCAAATATCTACTAACAAAAATTTAGTATTGACATGCTGTGACCTGAGTGAACTCATGTGAGCTTTATCACGTCAAGTGTTAGCTTTTAGAAATAAACTAATCTGAACCACATGACAGAGCATTCAAACTTACCACGTACTCAATAAACAACGGATATCTAGGGAATTTGTACGTTCAAAAATCCAAATGAAAAAGCCTGAAATTTTTATACTCCAACATCAATACCTAATACAATCTGCTGCAAACGTAAAATACAATAGCTACAGATCAATTTCGATTAGTATTTGAAGAACAGTTTAAGTGCTTTCAATTCGTTTATCTTCTACGGTAACAATAATATGTAAGAGGTTTATCATGAATAATTAGGTATCAAAAATAACCTAAGTATCATTCTTTTGTGCAAATCAAATGCTAGCCAGCCATTGTATCAACGCACTCCTGTCTCATTCCTTACAATAACTGTCAAAAAGAGTATTTGAAAACGAATTATAACACACACAAACTTTGAGGATCTGTAAATTCTAATTATCGTAGTGGGGGGGGGGGGGGTTAACTCTCATAAAGACTAGCTCTTAAACCCTATACACCCGAACAAACATACCTCATCGATATAATTGGGTAAATGTTCGGCGATGAAGGCCTCGGTTTCTGGAGCCATTTCAGAAGGTTTGAGAACAACAGCATTTCCAGCTCCCAAAGCACCAATCAAAGGAAGGAACAGGAGATTGATAGGGTAATTCCAAGCACCAATCACTAATACTCTGCCAAGGGGTTGTCTTCTAACGCATGCCTGGTCGAAGAAGCTTAGAAAGTTTCGAGAAACCTGAACATAATCGATAATTTAATTAAAGCAAAAATGGAAGAATCATGCCAAAATAAGTAGAAAACTTGCATATTTCTCTCCACACCACGAATCTAAATTGTTAATCATGGAAGTAATTGCCTTTTTTACTGTGAGAATTTCACAAGCTAGAATTTCCACCCGGTGCTAGAACAGATTTTTCTTATAAATTATCCAGAAGTTTACCTTTTGTAGGTCAGCATTAATGGCCTGGCATAAGCCATCTTCCTTCTCGATGAGAAAGTTTCGCAAGCGTCTTAAGATTTCCTTTCTTTCGCAAATTGATGATGGCTCTCGATCCACAAAAGGCACCTTCAGTTTCGTAATCTGTAAAGAGTTAAATTTAAAAATAAACGAAATTTGTTATAGGTAAATAACGAGTATAACAAGGATTATTCCAGATGTATATTACGGAAAACAATGACAATTTTAGGTGCAAAAGAAATGTTTACAGTGTAGTTGATCAAATACTATTATTAAAATAAAATTGCTATAAAAAAGGGCGATTGCACAGACATACATCGAACATCGCAACCAGTCAAAGCACGCCAAAACCAAATTGCTGCTTAAAAGGAATGTTGATATAGCGGACTTAAAGTGTAAGTTTTTCCAGAAATTATATTCCTAAAATATTAAAAGAAAATAAATTTCGACACTATGATATTATAACATCAGCCAAGGACATATGTGCATATATACCTGGTAATTTTAATCTTAAAGTTTAGTACAAGAAAGATTTATAATGGTAACAGTGAAATTATATTTGTTTATTCTACAATTCGATTGTAGAGGGATAAACTAAAATTTATTTTCAACCGCTATCTGTAATGACTTCTTCAATAAAAATACTTGAGAAATTTCGACCTTTAAATGGAAAATGGTGTCAAATACGATATGCCAATTGCTGGCTAATTCGAATATATGTCAAGCGTGAGCTTGTGACAAATCAAACAATGTCACTTGGCATTTCCATATCTAATAAATATATATTTTAGATATTTATCCAAAATGAAATATACGAGCAACTGTACTTCTACAAAGCATAGTACTAGATATATTAGCCATTTGAATAGGCAGCAAATTCTCCTTAACTCGATATTTTGATGTATGAATTTCTTTTGTGGCTAAATAGATGCTCTTTGTAATGTAAGTTTAAAACTATAAAGACATCTATAAGTCTTCTCACTTCAAGTAATCTTATTTCATTCAGAATATATGAGTTGATAATTTCTACCTTCAGCAATGCCAAATAATCACTATTTTAACTTCATGTCCATAAATTTGAATTCTCTATCCAAATTGTGATACAATAATATCGACTTTTTACTCATTGACAGTAATGAAAAAAGTGGAAGTTATAGGCAGAATGACAACTCGTATTTGTCTGAAGTCTGAAGATTTGGAATGTGTTGGGGAGGAGAGAATGTCACAATGCTCCTGAGTCTGCTGATCGTTGTTCACTAAATGCCATGCTGCTCGACATTAACTGTAAGTGAGATAGAATTTCCATTTCTTGTTGACCTTATTGTTAGTTGAAATCTACACGCCTTTGAATCAAATTACCTTTGCTTGTCATCGTTTTTCGGAAGCTACTACGGGTATAGGTATCTTTTCATCTTCATATTCTCTGCTCCTTGGAAGGCGGTTGTGGACCACGAGATGACTAGGTGTATTGACCTTAGTAGCTCTACGCGTATTACACCATGACAACTTTAAGGAGTCTTCATTTCATCCAAACATTCGTTCCAAATCATAATTCACTGCTCAAATTCCTTGTAATGATATGACACCAAGTGTTATTTATGCTCAAAGATGAGAAGATTCGACTGTAAACCTGTTTCTTTCATACCGCAACCTGATTATTGAAATGAATTCCAGCATTAATGCCGCTTAATTCGCAATATCCGTATCGATACAGTGAATGCACTCTTTTCATGATCACTCTCATTCACCTTCTCTCCCACCCAATCTCTTTAAATATAATTCCCTCGAAAAATAATAATGAGAAGTTGGATGAATGAAAGTGTGAAATTTTAACGGATCGTGATGGCAAGGTTGCCTTAAAACATGTTAGCTTTCAATGGGTCGGCTTTCTCTGAAATCAGCTGCCTTGAAATGGTGAATAGATGAAAGAGTTGGAAATATTCATCAAGAATTTTACTGAAGTTATTCCTTTGGACAGAATGCTAAGTATATCTAAAAAAGCCTCTTTAAGTTCAATGATTGGAGTAGAGTACATAAAATGTCACCAATACAATAGATTTTGTCGTGCTATTAAGGGATAATATCAGTGTACCTGCTTGGACCAGCTGGTAAAATTACTACACATTACACGAATTATAATAGAAGACATTTGAGGAATGCGTTTGGTTTGGAATCAACTCCTGCTGATTACTTAGCGGTATCTTCTCTAAATGAATTCAAGCTTTACCTGTTTAACATATTTATATATGAAAATCAAACAAAACGATAGGAACGTATACTGAAGGTTCATTTATTACGAGTCACAGCTGACCAATAAATATCAAGCCCTGAAAGAAAGTTCCAATTAGTCAATCATGAAAGACTTCTTGAATTAAAGATGATCTGGGTGATGAATGGCACACAAAATTGATTTCAAAATAGGAAGAGCAACAAATAATTACAATTGATGCGACTATAAACTGAATAGAATATTCGGGAAAAGAGAGAAGAATTTTCGGTTTAGACATTCGAGTGCAAAGAACAAAACAAGCGTGGCAATGCTAAAGTTAAACAAGTATATGGTAGTAAAAGGATAGGTTGGAGTTTGCCTACTTCCTTCATTTTACCTTTGAGAATGCAGTAAATTACAATCATATCAAACTGTCATGAACATTTTAGATATTCGCAAGTTGTGTGATGGTTACTCAAATACTGGGAACACGAACTTTGTACGATGAGTAAATAAGGGTAGATATTTAACCTCGTGATGACGGGAAAAAGTTACTCTCGGTAAAATAGTTGACTCTTAGCTAAGTATTCAGCCTCCATGGAGGCTTAATACGCATGATGGTGCCAGCATTTAGTCATCAATACTATATATCATATAAGTCGAAGAAAAACAGTTAATTTAAGTGCTCATCTTAAAATTTTGCATTATTTACGCTTTGCAATGAATCACGTGGAAAAAATCGGTTCTGATTATTGGAACATGGGGATAATTCAAGAATATAATTAAAACAATTTGTTTTCATATGACTGATATGCCACCAATTGATAGCAAATGACTTTGAATATTCCATCTGGTTCATCAATGTTAATAAGGTCCACCTTACGTCATCATACTTTCCCTTTCTTCCTTACCCTAAATGGAACTGTGGCATTAGAATCATAGATCGTCGAACATATTTCAACCCCAAGAGCACAACTGAATGGTTTTCCTGTTTGATCATATATTTATTAGTCAGTGTGACAAAGCCCATCATGGTTAAATAATCGTTGATTGTGAATTTAATTAGTTGATAAGGATCTCAAGCTATTATGACGACAGATTTAAATTTTAGGTGAAACATTTTATTAATACCGTATGCTAGGCAGAAAATGAAACGATCGAAAAGAATTCATTTAACCGCTACAGCGCCGACATTTCTCAGACTGTTCTAACACTTTACTAAAGATAATTTAGTTACATAAATTAACACGATATGGACCAATAATGGATATCCGTTAGTCAAATCAAGCTTTTCATTTCCTCTGAACCGAATAACTATAATTGTAAAAAAATTCATTATGAATATATTTATATAAGAAAAATTTTTGCCATTTAAATTTCTAAGCTACTGAGTGAAATAAATAAGACAACTTTACTATCCAATTTAATAATGCTAAAAACAGTAGAGAAGAGAAATAAAAGATTAATAAGCAGTTAAGAGCTAAACTTAGTTTTTAATATTTACACGAGTTACAATAGAATTAACTTTGTGGATTTGAATGTACTTATTTAAAAGCGGTGCATTCAAATTTGTGGTGTCCCAATTTGTGAGGTTGTGAGCTCGCATAGAGACTTGCTATGGATCCCAAGTTAATAAAAGAGAGGGAGGCATTCCTCCGTCATGCAAAAAGTGCAATTGTGGTTGAGAAACCGCGCACTGTTCCTGCATCCGCCTTGAGCTCTCAGGCCGTCACGGCGTATTCTGCTATTCGACCGCATATATCCACCACCAGAGATTATCTTGCCATGGATTTGCGGCCGCAAAACCAGGGGAAATTTAAACTTCTCTCTTGTGTCGTCAAGTATATGAAGACTCGTCATCTTGAGGGTGACTTTCATCCACTTGCAGTTGAGGAAATTCTAGAAGAACTGACACTCCTCGATCAACCGAAATCTGATATTAAGTGGCTCGAGGAGGAGGTGAGTTCCATTTCTTTTTCTATCAACTTCTTCTAGGCTCTTCCTAACAATCCTAAGATAAAAATGACTGCTGATAAGAAGTTCGTCTTCAAACCGAAGTATGATATTCGAAACCGAAATGACTTGTATCAGCTGTTAAAAACTCATGAGTTAAAGGGATTGGGTGGCATTTATTTTGACGACGTGGATGAAGCAATTAAGGATGCGGATAAAGTTGTTAAGGTTGGTGGTTTTACTTCATCTCTTTCTAATTTTAGAGCCTTGGCGATACTGTTCTACAAATTGTAACTCCACATGACAAGAAAACTGTCCTCTTTTTTAACGACAAATCTTTTGATCTGAATGTGGATGAGGGTACCCTTGTTATTGCGTTTCATATTTGAGTAGAATTTAAACAGCTTTGGCGGACTGTGAGTGTCGAAGGTGTGAATGAGGGTAAAATTGAGGAATATCTTCAGAGAAACGGCATTACTTCAATGTCTGCCGATAAGAAAACCTTCGTAAGCCGTTTTTACTTTCATTATTTTCTTTTTGCTTAATTTGTTGGTGTTTAAAATTATCTGGTCCTGTTTGGTGTTCGAAGTTCAAACCTTCTTCCTTTTTCTTCTAATCTTTCTACACCAGTTTAAGTATATTTTCAGAGATTTATTTGAAAATAAATGTTCCTTTTAATTGTTGCGTGTATAGTGGGTGACGAGAATCCTGTAAACATCCCATTAGATATTTATGCGATTTGACGCCTTGTAATCGGTTGGTTTTTAATTAAGTAATGTTAGTTGATGATGAGATATTATTATTAGTAGGTATTTAGACTTTTTTCGTTCAAACATTGTTTCACCATTTTTTTACTATCTCATTACTTTTTGGATATTGGTTGCTGACGTATGGGTATGTAGTGGTTATAGCAAGTTGGTAGCATCTAGAGACCCATGATCTTTGGCAGCTTTTATTATGGGCACGATGAGCCACAAGGGATACAGTGACAGGCAATCACTTCCATGGTGTCTCATTTTGTCTTTTTTTCACAAGACCTCTTATTTCCAAGGATTAAAGCCTTCTAATTGGGGAAATAAATGTTTTTTTCTACTATCCTCAGAACGATATTTATACCTATAAGACACAGCCCTAATCCAACTTTTCCGAAAACTTGAAGTGGGGTTATTGTGGCTACTTTAGTCACTTTAAATGTAGAAATTATTCTGTTCATACGCAGATGTGATGACGGGTTACTCAACAGTTTATGTGTTGTCAATTAATACCTGCTTGAGCGGAGTGCTAATTGGACTGATTAGTTAACAAGTTGGTCTGTGAAGTCTGGATTCATTGCTTCCTGATTTGCTTTTCTTTGTTCTCTTCTGAGTTTCCTTTTTGTTACTTAATTTTTTTTGGCCAAACAAATTGTTCATACCAGAAAAACAATTTAATGTTTCTCCTATACATGAGGGTTGTAGGCGGTTTTCTAATTTGACTTGAGCATTTAGTACCGCAATTTTGAATTTGAACAAATTCCATTCCGGGTTTTCTAATACTCGACTGTTTTCGTGCCAAAATCGCATTATCCCATTTAATATCTACCCGCGTGTGTTGAAAAGCTATGACACCTCTTGCTCTCGTTCTTTTTGCCCGAACAAATGCCTTGTCCTATTCACCGTTTACAGTTGACCTAAATTTCACCTAAATATCTCCTGAACGCAGTTCTGTTTGTACCTATGTTGAATATTAGTAGTACCTATGTACATTTCCGCCTTAGTGGAGATAGCCCTGGGATTGTGAATTGTAAGGCTGGCAGCTGATTGCTGTGGGCATTCCAGTTATGAAGAGCTGATTTTTCGCAATGTAAACTCTATAATGTTACTACTAGGGGTGCGCGATAGACTTACCTCCACGTGGTGCACCCTGGACAACGTATTTTCTTACGACAAAAAAGTCTATCACTCGGCATTCGTTTTTGACTTCGATTTATTATGATTAGCTTTAAAAAAGGCTATAAGAAAAATCGCCCTCGTCAGGGCGAATCACAACGTCTTCAGATCCTCCAGTGGAATGCTGGAGGAATGTCTCCGGACAAAAAGATCCAAGTACAGAAAATCCTACAAACCTATGATGTAGACATTTTCGCAATTATGGAAGCT